ATCTCCTGTTAATCAGTATCTGAAGTCCAGATTAGTGCTGATAAGATTTTTATTACTCCTGCTGTTGACCTCCAACATCTTCTTATGAAAATTTTCAAAAGACAGAAAACGTGAAAGGATTAGTCATTTGCTTTATCATATATCTGTCTTTCAATCCATACTGTGTGTGTGTGTGTGTGTGTGTGTGTGTGTTTTAAGATTGATTTATTTGCAAAGCAGAATTAGAGACAGAGAGAGTCTTCCATCTGCTAGTTCACTCCCCAAGTGGCCACAATGGCCAAGGCTGAGCCAGGCTGAAGCCAGGAGCTTTATTCAGGTCTCCCTTGTGGGAGGCAGTGGCCCAAGCACTTGGGCCATCTTGGGCTGCTTTCCTGGGCGAATTAGCAAGGAGCTGGATTAGAAGTGGAGCAGCCAGGACACGAACCATTGCCATATGGAATGCTGGCATCACAGGCAGCAGCTTTACCTGTTACACCACAACGCCAGTTCTGTATCCATCCTGTTTTTAATGCTTCTCCAAATAAGTGTAGACATCAGTGTGCTTCAACCCTAAACATGTCCTGGGATTGATTTGTATTAAGAATGCTTTGTGTTGCAAATAACAAAACCCAACTCAAAGGATTTAAGTAAATTGACTTATAGGGCTGGAAAGGGTGGTAGAGAGGCAGACTTGTAGGAAGAGCAGCATGAACTAAAAGGCTTCAGGGTTAGTTTTAGAGTTTATTTTTTATGCAAAATATATCTGTCTAGAGGAGAACAGGCCAGTTGTTGGAACCAAGGTTGCTCTCTAAACAGTTGCCTCTGTCCTTGCTGTCTCTCACTGCTGTTTCTCACCACCTGGCTGTGTGTTCTGTGAACATGCATTTCCTGAAGCAGGGGGGATGGCTGCTGCAGCACCAGGCTACATTTTTCCTGTACCTCGACCTTAAAAGCCATTTCTTTTCTACCTCTAAAATGAGACATCCAGAGGCAAGTGTTTGGCACAGTAGTTCACATTCCACTTTGGTCACCAGCATCCCGTATCGAGTGGCTGCATTTGAGTCCCGGTTCCTCTTCTGTATCCTGCTAATGTGCAGAACCAGTTAATGAGATTGATCTCTCTCTCTCTTTCTCAAATACATACATACATACATAGCTGAGAATAAAATGAGATGTCCCTGGGAAGAATTCCAGTTGACCTGGCTTGCCGCTGGATAGATCATGGTAGGACACTGGCCAGGAGGGAACACAGGATGTTTCCAGCGGGGATAGAGTTGAGAAACATGCCAAGTGGGGCATACTTGTATACCTCACAGCTTGCACACTCATTCTGCAGGATCCATAAGCCTGGTGCTTACTTTGGAAAAGTACAAAGGAAAGCTACACATGCAAAAATCCTAAATAGAACAACAGTATATTGAATCTAGAAGTGTGATAAAATACCAGTACCACTTCATACATACATAGGGTTTATCCTAGAAGTGCAAGAGTTGTTCATTATTAGGAAATCTATTAACAAAATGAGTAGACTATTAGATGCCCCCAAAACACATCTGCCTAAAATTTGACACTCATTCCTGATTTAAACCAGCTAACATAATGAGGTACTGGCCAATATAGTAAGATAAACAAACAAATAAACCTATAACCTGGATTATGGTGGTAGACTCTTAATTGGTCTTCCAGGTTCAACTCTTGACCCCTTTAAGTCTGTTTCAACACCGCATATAGCATGATGTTAATAAAATGTTAAGTCGTTTCAGTAAGTCGTCTTCTTTTGAGAACACTATGAGTGAAAGCTCAAAGCATCACTTGTGAGAGCTGAACTAATTTGTCCCTAAACTCGTGCACTTTTTTTTTATTTCGTCTCCTGCTCTCTTCCTCGTTTACTCTGCTGCAAGCAGGTGGGTTTGGACGCTGCCACTGCAGGACTTCTGCACTTGCTGCATTGCTTGTGCACTCACTTCTTTTCTCCCTGTAAACATACTCTCAGGGGGGGTCTTTCCCATCTAGTTAAAAACCACAATCTACTCTTCTCCCAGGACTCACACCCTTTCTAGTTATCACCAATGGGAAATGTATTTTGCTTATTTATTTTATTCATTTCTCCCACCTCCTCCATTAAAATGTAAGTTCTGGGGGATCACCATTGTGGCACAGCAGTTTAAGCTGCTGCCTGTGACACCAGCATCCATATGAGCCCGGGTTTGAGTCCCAGCTGCTCCACTTCTGATCCAGCTCCCTCCTGATGCACCTGGGAAAGCAGAGGAAGATGGCCTAAGTACTTGGGCACTTGCTTCCTGTATGAGAGACCTGGAAGGAGTTCTTGGCTTCTGGCACCAGCCTGACCCAAAGCTGGCTTTTGCAGCTATTTGGGGAGTGAACTAGTATATGTGAAAGATCTTTCTCTCTGTCTCTGTCTCTTCCCCTACTCTGTATCTCTGCCTTGCAAATAAATAAAATAAATCTTAAAAAAAAAAAAAAGCCGGTGCCGTGGCTCAATAGGCTAATCCTCCACCTTGCGGCGCCGGCACACCGGGTTCTAGTCCCGGTCGGGGCACCGGATTCTGTCCCGGTTGCCCCTCTTCCAGGCCAGCTCTCTGCTATGGCCAGGGAGTGCAGTGGAGGATGGCCCAGGTGCTTGGGCCCTGCACCCCATGGGAGACCAGGAAAAGCACCTGGATCCTGGCTCCTGCGATCGGATCAGCGCGGTGCGCCGGCTGCAGCGGCGGCCATTGGAGGGTGAACCAACGGCAAAAGGAAGACCTTTCTCTCTGTCTCTCTCTCTCTCACTGTCCACTCTGCCTGTCGTGGAAGAAACTAAAGAAACAGAATCAGTTCTAGGATTCTTGTCCCAGGAATTTTTACCTGTACAGTCATTGAGAAATCTCCAGTGCTATAAATGGTGCCTGGCACACAGTGATGAGCCGTCAAAACTTGGTAAGTTAATGAGTTGGGTTAAAATCTGCAGATAGTGAAAGCAACAGGTAAAACTGCTAAAATTCATACTTGGAAGACTTATAATAGACAAGCCCATTAGAACTAGAGTTAAGCAAGTTCTTTGAAAAATGTAGTATACTCAAGATGGTATTCAGAATAAGAACAAAAACTATAAAATACTTAGGAGTCAATCTAATAAGAGTATGGAAGACCTATTTGATAAATAAAAAATAAAACCTGACAAAGGATATAAAACAGGAGAGGAGGAAATAATTTTTAAAAAGCATGTTATAGGGGCTGGCATTGTGGTGCAGCAGGTTAAAGCCCTGGCCTCCCATAAGGGAGCTGGTTCGAGTCCCAGCTCCTCTACTGGGAAAGCAGCAGAGGATGGCCCAAGTTCTTGTGCCCCTGCACCCACATAGGAGACCTGGAAGAAGCTTCTGGCTCCTGGCTCTGGATTGGCTCAGCTCCAGTCGTTGCGGCCATCTGGGGAGTAAACCACTGGATGAAAGACCTCTCTCTCTGTTTCTATCTCTCTATAACTCTGTCTTTCAAATAAATAAATATTTTTTGAAAGAAGCATGTTGCAAAACAGTTAACATATCATGATTTTGTTTATGTGAAATCAAATAATTCCCCACAGAAAACCATCCAAACTATATATTACTGAGAGGTTCAAACCAAATTTTTCATATCAGTTTTTTTCCTTGATGAAAAAAAATTGTTTATTTGAGAGACAGAGACATCAGAGCAGAGAGGAAGTAGGTGGATAGGTAGAAATGGAGACAGAAACAGTGAGTGAGCTCTGGTCTGCTGGTTCACCTCCCAGATTCCTACCTACAATGTCTGGCTCTAGGCCAGGCCAAAGCCAGGGCCAGGGGATCTCCATCAAAGTCTCCCATGTGGGCAGCAGGGACCCAACTACTTGAATCACCACCTTCTGCTTCCCAAGGTGCTCATTAGCAGGAAAATGGAATTGGGAACAGGAGCTGAGACTCAAACCCAGGCACTCCAGTGTGAGTTATGGGCATCATAACTAGTGTCTTAACTGCTAGACCAAATGCCTGTCCCTACATCAGACTGTATGAAGGTTCACTTGGTAAAGCATTTAAAACACAAAACATACAGAATATAAAGAAAATATATTAGAGGTGGGCGCCGGGTTCTAGTCCCAGTTGCTCCTCTTCCAGTCCAGCTCTCTGCTGTAGCCCAGGAGGGCAGTAGAGGATGGCCCAAGTCCTTGGGCTCCTGCACCCGCATGGGAGACCAGGAGGAAGGCACCTGGCTCCTGGCTTCGGATCGGCGCAGCGCCGGCCGTGGTGGCCATTTGGGGAGTGAACCAGCGGAAGGAAGACCTTTCTCTCTGTCTCTCTCTCTCACTGTCTAACTCTATCTGTCAAATAAATTAAAAAAGTATATATATTAGAGGATCTTTAAAAGTTGATAGGAAGGGGGTGTCAGTGTTGTGGTATAGTGGGTTAAGCTACCACCTGCAGTGCTGGCATCCCATATGGGCACTGGTTCTTGTCCCCATTGCTCCACTTCTGATCCAGATCCCAGCTAAGGCACCTGGGAAAGCAGCAGAAGATGGCCCAAGTGGTTGGGCTCCCTATACCCACTTGGGAGACCCAGATGAAGCTCCTGGCTTCTGTCTGGCCCAGCTCTGGCCATTGTGGCCATTTGGGGAGTGAACCAGTGGATGGAAGATTCTCTCTCTTTGTCTCTGCATTTCCTTCTCTGTAACTCCATCTTTCAAATAAATAAGTAAGTCTTTGGGGAAAAAAAAGTTGCTGGGAAAATTGAATTAAAAGTATGTTTATTTTAGTATAAAAATTTATTTCAAAACTATGATTTCTAAAATGTTTTTGCAGCAATATAAATATATACTTTTAATGTATACTTTTAATTTTACTTTTGCATGAACTTTTAAAGTTCCCCTTGTACTAGTATTTTGTTCAGTTTTCAAAATAGAAAAGTGCAAATTATGGAGGAAAAAACAGGTAAATCTTTATTTTCAATCCCCCCCTCTATGGAGCCAGGTTTTAAAAAATTATTTTTTTTCCACTTTTTTTTCTCTCTAGGGATCCTGGATAATCAGATACAGACAAGAAAACATACTTGGATGTTTATATAGCAATTGTTATAAAAGCAGTAAGCAGTAAGTTAATTAGTATATATAATATGGAAGAGAGGAGATGATTGTTTAGAATTCATAAGTATTATACCTGTGGCTAACTGTATTGTCAGGAAAACACTCAGGTGTAGCAGAAAGAAAAAGTTCAAAATGCTTGGTGGCTTAGGTCTTGTGATCTTGGGGAAACTGAGTGGTTAGATCTTGGTTTCCTCATGTGGTCATCCGTCATGTCTAAATTCTGAGTCTGAATACAAGTAATATCAGAAATACAGTAGGAAAACAGCATATTTTACCTAAGTTGTATTACTGGCTCTGCTGTGTCTATATGTCTTCTAAAGACAGGACTTTGTGAAGTCGTGGGGGACAGCAGGCCATTCAACCAGTAGCCCAGTTCAATGCTCAGGTTTGGTGTATGTTTAAAGTCTCCGTTAAATGGACTGGTCTCAGTTCAGAAGAATAAAGACTTTAGCTTTGTATGTAATATTTTACTTTTTCCTCAAAAAAGGTTAATATTTTACATAATTCAAAAAAGCACTTATGTAGATAAAAATAAAAATATCCCGAAATATTAACAATGATTAATTCTGAGATCTGGAAATATGGGTAGGTGATCGTAGTTTTCTTTTATTGGGGTTTCCCCCCACTTTAATTAAAAGGTAAATAGTTCTATGACACATTTCATGGTTTGGTGACAAATGGTAGCTTATGTTCAAAACAACCCATCGTAGCACAGTGGTTAAACTGCCATGTGAGATGCCTGCATCCCCTTCTCCAAGTCCCAGCTCCTCCACTTCTTATCCAACTTCCTGCTAATGTGCATCCTGGGAAGCAAAGATTAAGGCTCCAGTACATGAAAGAGTTGGGTGGAATTCAGGACTCCTGGCTTTGTTCTGGCCCAGCCTTGGCTGTTGCAGGCAACTGGGGAGTAAACCAGCAGATGGAAGATATCTCTGTCACTCTGCTTTTCAAATAAATTTTTAAAATAAATACATTAATTTTAAAAATTGAATTTGGGAAGCAAGAAAATGTACAAAGGAAAAATAACTGAATTTAATTTTACCCATTTGACAAAATAAGAAACACTAACCAGGATAATTTTTACTCTGGGAAGAGGAGTATCTGTCTGTATTTTGTTTGCTTCCTCTTTATTTAGTCAAGATGCTTGTGAAAAAAGAAACTGTTTTCAGTATTATCTTGGCTTTCTACAGCAGTAGTGGGGGAGTTACTTGTTTCTTGGTCACATGGCCTATTCATGCTTTTGTCACTGGCTGGTTTTAAGTTTGAAAACCAAAGAGCTCTTAGTAACCTTGGCAGTCACTCAGCCTACTGTCTAGATGGATTGGGAAATGAGCCAGGGACCAACTTGATGAAATATTCCTAGTGCAGGAAGTGATCATGAGATCAAGCTTCTATGAAACATGAAAAAGTAAGGGAAGGCGGACATTAACCATTTCCCAGGGAAAGAAGTTTCTTCTTTAATTTTCTTGCTATTTTTGTCCTGCTGCTTCCAAACCTTGAACCTGAATGAGTTGGGGCATGGGAACACTAAGAAGAATCCAAAAAGGAAAAGGAATCTGAGAATGTAGTGTTGCGTAGCTGGGTGTAGGGCAGTGTACTGCAGCAGGTTCAGTTAGGGTGGCCGTGAAGTCTGACTGTGGTGGATGGAACAGTTGATACAGTTGGTTTGTGAAAGATCTTAGTTAACGATGTGGAGGGCTGGGATTCTGCTCAATGTAGGGAAGAGATTACTATCTGGAGTATTAGGGAATGACTGGTGGTGGTAGGATCCCCTCTGGGGCTGGAAATAGAGGATACTGGGGAGGAAGAGGACTAGGTGTTCTGAGAGTGGGGTCCTGGATATGTCAGTGTCTGGGAGTGCCTCTTCTCACATTTCGCTTGGGGGCAAGAGGAGAACCGTGGCTGAAGGACTAAGATCTGCACACAGATGGGCGCAGTTTTCCTCTGCTGATGCTCTTGAGGATAGCTGTGAGGCTTCATCTAGGCTCTCAAACAAATCTTCGTTTTTGTGTTTGCTTTTTGTTTGCTTTTGGTTTTGAGTCAGACTCATGAAGACCATAATAAGGGCAAATCAGTGTAGAAACTCTGCTTCACAAATCCTCAAAAAATAAGATGGCATTGAAATTTCCTGGAGGCCACTGCTGAGTTAGTCCTCTCCATCACTGACCTGCAGGGGACCAGAGAGCTCCTGACCATCAGTTTGTAGTCAGAAGTTCAGACTTAGTCTTCAGACCGGTTCTGAACAGTCTGTTCCAGAAAACAGACTAGAAAGGAAGCCTTCCCAATGCATTCCCATGGTACTGATACCAGAGCTACGCAATGTCCACTCCTGGTTAAGTCATTCCTCTTCTTCACACCTTAATCATGGAATTCTCACACAAGATGCCGCTCTTCTCCTGGGCTGTGCAGGAACTCAGGGAATTGTTTTCTGTTCCTATTGCAGCTGCAGCCGACTCCGCCGAGTTCAGAGTATCCTGACCCAGAGCAGCAAGTCTCAGCCTGATGGCATCCTCTGCATCCTAGGTCAGTGCTTTTCTTCTTCTTCTTCTTTTTTTTTTTTTTTAAGATTTTATTTACTTGAGAGAGAGAGTTACAGACACAGAGAGGGAGACAGAAAGAGAGAGAGGTCCTCCATCTGCCGGTTCACTCACCAGACAGCTGCAATGGCCAGAGCTGTGCTAGTCTGAAGTCAGGAGCTTCTTCTGGGTCTCCCACACAGGTGCAGAGGCCCAACCACTTGGGCCACCTTTCACTGCTTTTCCAGGCCCTAGCAGAGAGCTGGATCAGAAGAGGAGCAGGCAGAACATGAACTGGCGCCCATATTGTGGAGGCTTAGCCTGTTATGCCACAGTGCTAGCACCTGGGTCAGTGCTTTTAACAGATTGGAACAACTTGGCTTCTTGTCACAGGAAGATATTAATAATATGGTGAGATAAACAGTCAGCTGGTATACTTCTCCTGACTCTTACTCCCCTGAAATATGTTGCTATTTTTTATAATGTCTGCTTTTCTTTTTTCTTTTTTCTTTTAATTTCTTTATTTGAAAGGCAGAGTTACAGAGAGGCAGAGGCAGAGAGAGAAAAAGAGAGATCTTCCTTCCGCTGGTTCACTCCCCAAATGGCCACAAACGGCCAGAGCTGCCCTGATCCAAAGCCAGGAGCCAGGAGCTTCCTCCGGGTCTTCCTACATGGGTTCAGGGGCCCAAGGACTTGGGCCATCTTCTACTGCTTTCCTAGCCATAGCAGAGAGCTGGATCGGAAGTGGAGCAGCTGGGACTTGAACCAGCGCCCTTATGGAATGTTGGCACTGCAGGCAGCAGATTACCCACTATACCACAGCACCAGCCCCATATATTGCTATTTTAATGAAGTTGGATGAGAGCATTCTTGGAGCTCCTTTTATCCTAACCCCTTCTTATCCTCAGACAGACAGGTTTACCTCCTGCCCTTGATACTTCACTCTTGCCCAGAACCATAGCTCTGAAACTTCACAGACACCCAGGAACCAGGTACTGTATGTAGCTGAGGCACTGAAGGGCAGTAGTGAAGACAGTATTTGATTTCCTTTTCATATGTTTCTGACCCAGCCCACTAGAGCATAAGCTTCATGGGGGCCCTGTGCAGGCACAGTCACCACTGCACCACAGTATACAGTTACAGTGCTAGTAGCCCTTGCACCTGAAGTTTATGATTGTGAAACAACGAGTGTTTGTGGTTCAATTCACTTGTTGTCGTCATATCTTTGGGTCTTTTTCATACCACCTTAACCTGCCTTTATTTAATCCCCCTGTTCTGATAGAAATCCCAAGAAGTTAATGTTCTTTTTACCTCTATTCTTAGGCCAGCTAAAATTCTTTCAAGATCTTTTTAAAAAAGATTTTTATTATTTGAGAGACAGAGATGGAGAAAGAGACTGAGAGAGGAAGATAAGAAGAGGAGAGCATTCTCATCTGCTGGTCCACTCCCCAAATGCCCACAATGTCTGAGGCTGGGCCAGGCCAAAATTGGGAGCTGGGAACTGAATCCAGGTCCCCCAAGCTGATGGCAAGGACCTAACCACTCAAGCCATCAGCAGCAAGCTGGAGTTGAGAGTAGAGCCAGGACTAGAATCTAGGTACTCTAATATAACACACAGGGGTCCCAGTTGGCATCTTAAATGCATGGCCAAACACCCACTCCATATTCCAAAATCTTTAACAAGCCATGAAAGGATTCGTTCAGTGTTTTCTGGTTTTATAGAATGTTGGCATAAATTCCTTGGGAATTACCCTTCGGAAATTAACAACTTCAGGACAGGTGTTTGGCCTGGCAGTTAAGACACCAGTTATGTCCCATGTCAGGGCACCTGAGTTTGTCCTGGCTCTGCTAACAGCTGACACATATCCTGGGAGACAGCAAGTAATAGCTCAAGCAGTTGAGTCACTGCTACCCACGTGGCAAGCCTGGATTGAGCTCCCAGCTTTGACCTGGCCCAGCCCTGGCTATTGCAGGCATTTGGGAAATGAACCATTTAGGAAATGAACCAGCAGATGGGAGCTCCCTTTGTCTGTCTGTCTGTCTCACTCTCTGTGTCTCTGCCTCTCAAATATTTTTTAAATGGAGAGGATTTATTAAAAAATTAACCTCAGTAGTCAAGACTGATTGTATCAGCAAAATGTTCTTGGAATCCAGGTAAGAGTCCTTGATGTTGGGGCCTGTTTCTTTCACAGAGTTACTTAGTTTGGTTTATGGTCTGAGGGGCCGGTGCTGTGGCAAAGCGGGGAAAGCCGCTGCCTGCAGTGCCAGCATCCCGTAAGGGCACCAGTTCAAGACCCGGCTGTTCCTCTTCCATTCCAGCTCTCTGCTATGGCCTGGGAAAGCAATATGAGATGACTCAGTTCCTTGGGCCCCTGCACCCACATGGGAAACCCGGAAGAAATTCCTGGCTCTTGGCTTCAGGTTGGCCTAGCTTCAGCCATTGTAGCCATTTGGGGGTGAACCAGTGGATGGAAGATCTCTTTCTCTGCCTCTGCCTCTCTGTAACTCTGTCTTTCAAACAAATAATATCTAAAAACAAAAACAAAAACAAAAACAAACCAACTGATCTGAGCTGCTGCCTTTAACTTGCCATCAGAGTTTTTCTGACCAGAACTTTCTTTGCCTTGCAGGAATTGATAGCAGGTATAATGAAGGCTGCAGAGAGCTGGCAAATTATCTTCTGTTTGGTTTGTACAATCAGAATATCTGTGATTTTGAGATAACGGGATTTTCTGAAGAAGTTCTAGATGGTAAGTATATATTTATAAATTCTGGTTGAGAGAGGAATAGGTGCTTATTTCTTTGGATCTTTATTTCATGCTTTTTAAAAAAAAATTATAAAATATCATCAAATATAAACTCGCCGAAAGCCACAGTAAGTTTTTTGCCTTTTTAATAATGAAAACAGGGATGGCTGCTGCTTGGGATGCCTACAGCTCATGTTAGAGTGCCAGTTTGAGGCGCGGCTGCTCCATGCTTCCAACACAGCTTTCTGTTAATGTGCCTGGGAGACAGTGGATGATGGCCCAAGTGCATGGGTTCCTGCCACCTCTATGGGAGACTCAGATGAGGTTCTTGGCTCCTGGCTTTAGCCCTGGCTGTTGTAGGCATTTGGAGAGTGAACCAGTGCATGGAAGATCTTGGTATCTCTCTTTTTCTCTCTCCTTCCCTCACTCCCTTCTTCCATTCCCCTCTCCTCCCTGCCCCCTCCTCCCTTCTCTGTCACTCTGCCTTTCAAATAAATAAATAAATACATCTTTTTTAAAAATGGAAAGCAGCATTTATTCTTTGCTAATAGATAAGTAATATACTCCTCTTGTTCAGTAGCTAGATAATAAGAAACTACCAACAAGTAGTTTTCAGAATATATTTATTGGCAAATCAGATTTAGGGAAAAAACTAAACATCGGTATTCAATTTTATCTCTTTTTAGCAAGGTAATAATTTTCCTTTTACATTTTTTTTTAAAATTTGTGAGGCAGACAGAGCGCCCATCTTCTGGTTCACTCCTCAGATGCCTGCAGTGGACTGGGCTGGGCTGGGCTGGGCCAAAGCCTGGAAGCTAGAATTCATTCCATGTCTCCCGTGTGGGTGACAAGGACCCAACTACGTGAGCCATCACCTGCCTCCCAGGGTCTGCATTAGCAAGAAACTAATCAGAGCCAGGGCTGAGTGTTGAACCTAGGTATTCTGATGTGGACATGAGCATCCTAACCAGCGTCTCAACCACTGGGTTAAACGCCCACCCCGTTTCCCACTGCCTATATGGGCTGAAGGTTCGGATTATGTGCTATTGTCTTGTGAAAGCACTTTCAGTTGTGAGATGAGGGTGAGCCTGCAGGCTGCTCCTACAAGGAACACTTCATGTGGATCTTCAGCTGAGAGACAAAGACTCTTTATCCTGCTGTCTTTGGGAATTGTTTTCGATGTGACTTTAATTCATGACGATGTCTGTGAGTACAATGCAGGCTTTCTGTTTACATTCCCCTTTCCGCAGCCTGGAGACACTCCGCCTGTGTTGATGCTACTATGGACTGCTGCCCAGGAGCTATCTCTGATATCACATACTTAGCATCATGACTTGTCTGCCAGATGGGTCAAGAGACACAGGAATGGACAAAAAACAGACAGCTCTTGTGAGGCAGCTGGGGAGGCAAGAAAGCAAATGTGTGACGTGAAATAATCTTGAGTATAGTGATCAGTTTAGTCCTCCAGAGAACATTTGGCAGTATCTGAAGACATTTTTGATTGTCGCAACTGCACAGGGTGCTGCTGGCATCTAGTGGGTAGAGGCCAGCAGTGCTGCTAAGGATCTCAGAATGCCCAGGACAACCCCCCAAACTCGAGATTGAAAAACCCAATTCTAGTGTATGTAAAAACTCTTGTTTGTCATAGTAGATTGATAAAAGCTTTCTTTTTTATTAGGAACTGCAGAAAGAGAAATTGCTCCTTCAATTTTTTTTTTTTTTTTCAATTCAAGTTTGGTTTCAGATTTGCTTTAAAATGTTTTCCCCTTATACTGTACAGCATCTACTGGTTTGGAAAGAATTAATTTGGCAGCTCATACCGGCCACATATTTCATTGCATCCAAGGTTATTAAGGATATTACAGTACCAAAATTAAGGGAATAGTTTAAATGCTGAAAGGGATAGTTTGCTTATCTTTGTTTTCATCCTGTTATTTGACACCATGGATACTTGGAAAATGAGCATTTCCCTCCAAATTCATAAATTTATTTTAAGATCCAAGAGGTTAGAAGCTGATATTACCAGATTTATGCTTCTGTGTTTCAGTCTCTAGTTATATGAGAAGACAAAAAAGCCAACATAAGGGATTTATTTTAGAAAAAAAATACTTCATAGGGCCTGGCATTGTGGTATAATGGGTTAGGCCGCCACTTGCAATGTCGGCATCCTATATGGGCACTGGTTCAAGTCCTGGCTGGTCTGTTTCGAATCCAGCCCCTTGCTCTGTAAGTGGTGGAAGATGGCCCAAGTCCTTGGCCCCCGCAACAATATTGGAGACACAGATGAAGCTCCTGACTTCAGCCTGGTCCAGCACTGGCCATTGCAACCATCTGCGGGGTGAACCAGTGGGTGGAAGATATTTCTCTTTCTCTCTGCCTCTGCCTCTCACTAACTCTGCCTTTCAAATAATGGCGGCCATTGGAGGGTGAACCAACGGCAAAGGGGAGACCTTTCTCTCTGTCTCTCTCTCTCACTGTCCACTCTGCCTGTCCAAAAAAAAAAAAAATCTTTTAAAAAAAGTGAAAGTTTATTACTCCATACATTAAAAAAAAAAAAAGCCAGCCTTATGGAACCTTATTTCAGGAGGTCACTGAGCAGGTGGTCAACTGTGGTCAGTATTTGTTGGGTTTATAATTTTTTAAAAAGATTTATTTATTTATTTAAAGGTCAGAGTTACAGAGAGAGAAGAAAAGACAGAGAGATCTTCATTCCACTGATTTACTCCCTAGATGGCCACAGTGGCCAGCACTGGGTCAGACTGAAGCCAGGAGTTAGGAGCTTCATCCAGGTCTCCCACATGAGTGGCAGGGACCCAAGTATTTGGACCATCTTCTGCTGCTTTTCTCAGGCCATTCATAAGGAGCTGGATTGGCAATGGAGAAGCCAGGACACAAACTGGCATCCATGTAGGATACAGGTGTCACAGGCAGCGGCTTTACCTGCTGGGCTGCAACAGAAGCCGCCATAATCTGTTTTTTAAAACGTGTGGTCCATCATACTGTTTGACTGTGTGGCATTGCCTTACACCTGCTGCATTCAGTGCTTCCCTCCTTCCTGTGCCTGTCTCACCTCCAGCAACTTCCAGCTTCATCTTGTTAGAAGGTGGCCGGCTGGCTCCGGTCTCAGAGGAGTCAGGGAAGAGAGCCTCTGCTTTTCTCCTGAAAATATGACTGCTTTCATTCTCAGTGTTCAAATACTTTACTATTGCTGCCGCGTTCCATCGGCCTTCTGTTTACCTGGATTTATTTGTACCCTTGGGGTTGCTTTATTTACTTGACCTACCAACATTGATGGCTATTCCTCCAGTCTGGAGCTGCTGATATATTTATAGAAGCTCTTTCCCCTGCCTGTACTTCCTTCCTCCCAGTCTTTCCTGGGAACAGAGTTCACCAGTGTACACAGTAACCCTTCCCACAGCTGACAGGCATGTCCGGGCCCACAGTTGCCTTGAATCAGATGAATCAGGAGCCAAGAGCTTAGATGCTGGTATCTGTGGGAAACCACCAGGTGTATTTGGTGCTGTTTTCCTGCCTCAGTGGCTTTCAACTTCAGGGTTTTCATTTGGTATGAATCTCTGCAGTGAAGTACACAGCCAACTTCAGAACCACAAATTTGACTGTGTTGAACTTTGCAGAATACCATGTTTCAGTATATGAAGACTGTTCTCTATCTTGTGTCTAAATTGCTGTAAGCAGAGGACCATGGTGGTGGGAGCATTGCATGGGGAGTAGGAAATCCGGCTGTCAACACTTGAGTGTTCTACATTCCTTTGAACACATTAGTTCTCCGTTTAAAGCTTTGTTCCATCGTCTCTGACGTATTTTTAATGGTTTAACTAATTATATGAGCAGGAAATGATAAAGGAAAAGCTCTGACAATCTGTGTTGACTTGTTTTTCTTACAGACGTGATTATACTGATTAAATCAGACAGCGTCCATCTGTACTGTAATCCTGTGAACTATCGCTATCTCGTACCGCTTGTGGCGCATTGGAGAAATCTGCACTTCCACTGCATGACTGAAAATGAGGTGAGGAGAAAAGGTGGAATAGGCACGTAGAGATGCTCTAAGGAAAGTGTAGATGTGGAGGGCTGGCACTGTGGTGTAGTGGGTAAGACTGCTGCCTGCAGTGCCCGCATCCCATGTGGGCACCAGTTCGAGTCTCGGCTGCTCCACTTCTGATCCAGCTCTCTACTTTGGCCTGGGAAAGCAGTAGAAGAAGGCCCAAGTCCTTGGGCCCCTGCCCTTACGTGGGAGACCTGGAAGAAGTTTCTGACTCCTGGCTTCAGATTGGCACAGCTCCGGCTGTTGCAGCCATCTGGGGAGTGAACCAGTGGATGGAAGATCTCTCTCCCTCTCCCTCTCCCTCTCCCTCTCCCTCTCCCTCTCCCTCTCCCTCTCCCTCTCCCTCTCCCTCTCCCTCTCCCTCTCCCTCTCCCTCTCCCTCTCTCTCTCTCTCTCTCTCTCTCTGCCTCTGCCTTTCAAATAAATAAAAATAAATCTTAAAAAAAAAAAAAAAAACAAGGCTCTTTGCTACAAAGGTGCAAATTAATTTTGGCAAATATCCTTGGCTAAATATTAGAACTGGCTCAGGGATGACAGTGTGAGTATTTCTGATTAGCAAATATAGATTGACTTTGAAACACCCTTTAAGAACACTCCTCTATAAATGCCATTTGGGATAACTGACAAAATGCAGAAAAAAGGGCCTATGCTGTGGCTTAGTAGGCTAAGCCTCTGCTTGCAGCATCAGCATCCCATATGGGTGTCGGTTCGTGTCCCGGCTGCTCCTATTTAATATATATTTAAATATATATAAGAGTTACAGAAAAGGAACAGAGAGAAAGAGAGAGAGGTCTTCTATCCTCTGGTTCACTCCCCAGATGGCTGCAATGGCCAGAGCTGAGCTGATCCAAAGCCAGGAACCAGGAGCTTCTTTTGGGTCTCCCATGTGGGTGCAGGGTCCCAAGGATTTGAGCCATCATCTGCTGGTTCCCAGGCCCATTAGCAGGAAGCTGGATTGGAAGAGGAGCAGCTGGGACTTGAACCGGCACCCATTTGGGATGCCGGTGCTGCAGGCTGGGGCTTTAACTGGTTGCACCACAGCACTGGACCCCCAGCTACTCCTCTTCCAATCCAGCTCTCTGCTTATGCTGTGGAAAAGCAGTATAAGATAACCCAAATGCTTGGGCCCCTGCACCTGTGTGGGAGACCCAGAAGAAGCTCCTGGCTCCTGGCTCCTGGCTCCTGGCTCCTGGCTCCTGGCTCCTGGCTCCTGGCTCCAGATCAGCCCAGCTTCTACCGTTGTGGCCATTTGGGGAGTGAACCATTGGATGGAAGATCTTTCTCTTTGTCTAATTCTACCTCATAAATAAATAACTAACATCTTAAAAAAAAAAAAAGAATTGAGAAAATAAGAGACTTTGTGTGATGTCTCACCAAAACCTGTTTTTCTTTTCATTTCTCTCATTAGTATGAAGATGAGGAAGCTGCAGAAGAATTTAAAATTGCCAGCTTCGTGGACATGGTTAGAGACTGTAGTAGAATCGGCATTCCTTACAGTTCCCAAGGTGAGTATCTGACAGCAAGCCATTTGCAAACCTTGCTTAGATACTGTGTAGATCAAACATGTCTATTTCTGCTTTCTTTGGAGGCATTGAACAGGGAAACCCCTTGATCCATTTTTACTAAAAGCAAAGATAAAGCAGGGGGGACTTTGCCACCCAAGTTTGTATTTGTAACTGTGAAGTTTCTGCAATAACACAGTTGGCTACCAGTGGTCAGGTAGAATAACTGGTAGGGGAGTTAGCACTGTTGACGTCTAGACTGTATCACTTATTGTGCATAAAATATAGATGAAGTTCTTGATAAATAGTAATTTGGATAGATATTTAAAAAGTAATGCTGACAGTGAGGTTCAAAAATGAAGGTAAAATAAAGGAAAAAATTAAAAAGTTTAACATGTGTATATTGTAGCAAAAACAATCCTTCCACATAAAACCTAATGACACAAGAAAAGAACAATTTGGTAGTTTTCTCTTGAGAAAGCTGATGGGTATGTTTCTTAAAAAAGAAGCCAGATTTGGGTCTGTTAATAATTATACCCACTGAATGATGCAAGTCAGATGTAATAGGCTACTTACTTATTTTTTATTTAGTCACTTAGGAAAATAAATGTGAAAATAGAGAGAAATTTGAACTTATGTAACTACTTTATGGTTTGAATTTTCCTGGTATGCTTGTGAGAAATGATGCCTATTTGACCGCTTTAGATCAGCCTGAGACTGTTATATCCCAAGTGATATCTGATATGTGTTGTTGTATTTCATTCCTGTAGGTCACTTGCAGATATTTGATATGTTTGTGGTGGAGAAATGGCCAATTGTACAGGCCTTTGCACTTGAGGGCATTGGAGGGGATGGATTTTTTACCATGAAATACGAGGTAGGTATGAAAAGCAGTATGCCTCATTACTGTGTGAGACTACACTATTCTAATGAAGGATGCACAGAGTGGTGTGTATTACTGTGATAACTGGAAGTTTTTCCTGGAGCAACCTGGAAGACTTAGCGTCCGTTTAAGGCTAGCCCCCTGCATCTTGTTCTCCTGTTCCTGTCAATCCTTCTCTCTCCTTTCTCTACTCTGAGTCAGCTGTCCTTCCTTTCTGGTCCTGTTGCACTCTGGGCTAAATTCTTACTCTTACAGCTTTTATCATTCTGTGATTAGAGATTTGTCATTGCTGTGCCTCGCCACCCTCCCACTCACCCCTGGCCCCTGAACTAGTAGGTCCTTGGGTACAAGAACAGAGCTTCTGTTGTGCATACCTCATATGATCCTATAATTGAGAAATGAAAGAGTACAGAATTTTATATAAATACTATACACTAGAAGAATGAAGAGGTTAGCTTTTGTGGTAAGTGCCAGTTATTGTTTATTGCTTTTTTTTGAGAGGCAGCGACAAACAGAGCTCCCATCTATATTGAATCTATACTGATTTACTCCCTAAATGCTCATAGTGACTAAGGCTGGGCCAGGCCAAAGCCGGGAGCTGGGAATTCAATCCAAGTCTTCCACATAGGTGACAGGGACCCGACCACTTAAGCCATCAAGTGTTGCTTCTCAAGAGTCTGCATTGGCAGGAAACTAGAATCAGAAACAGAGCCAGGATGGAGCCCAGGTACTCCGACGTGGTATGCAGTTGTCTTAACCAGCATCTTAACTGCCAGCCAAACCCCAAACCCCTACCCCAAGAATAATGTCTTTTGCAAGTACATTCCTTGCATCTAGGAGTTGACTAATAAATGAAAGGGGTCCGTCCAGAGTACAGATTAGGGAGGATGGCCTGATAGTTCAGCAGTACCACCACAGGCATCTGTGTGCCTCTAGGCTCTTCACAGAAGTGACGTGTTCCCAGCACAGGAAACCAGGGAAGGGGAGCATTGCCATGCTGGTAATGGGGACTTTCTGTTAGTAAGTGGGACATCCAGAAGCAAGGCACAAGGCTGATTCTCACCCTTCCTTCTGCGAAGCACTAGTGTCCCTAGGAAATGAGCAGGCTTGCCTGGCTGAACTGCATCACACCCGCTAGTGTAGAGCAGCCTGGGTTGCATGGCTAAAGAGCACCGTCCCACCTGGGCTCCACTCTTCTCCAAAACCGCAGTATTCTCACGTTGATTATGAGTAGCATAACATCGACAAAGCTGTGGGAGGTATCCCTGATCAGATGTGACACTCTTGTAATTCAGAAAAGGGGCTTGAAAAAGAGGCAGGCTACGAGGTAGACAGGAAGCTTGGCATTTTTACAAAGATACTAATGTTGGGGCCAGTGCTGTGGCACAGCAGGTTAAAGCCCCAGTCTGCAGTGCACGCATCCCATATGGGCACTGGTTCAAGTCCCAGCTGCTCCTCTTCTGATCCAGCTCTCTGCTATGGCCTGGGAAAGCAGTAGAAGATGGCCCAAGTCCTTGGGCCCCTGTACCCATGTGGGAGACCTGGAAGAAGCTCGTGGCTTCTGGCTTCGGATCAGCTTAGCTCTGGCCATTGTGGCCATTTGGCGAATGAACCAGCGGATGGAAGACCTCTCTCTCTCTCTGGATCTACCTCTCTCTCTAACTCTTGTCTTTCAAATAAAATAAGTCTTTAAAAACAAAAAGATGTTAATGTTTTAAATTTTTATCAACTATTTTAAATTTTTAAAATTTAAAATCTCTGAAAGACACAGAGACAGATGGAGCTAGCTTCCATCCATTTGGTTCAGTCCTCATATACCATGGCTGAGAAGTTGAAGCTGAAAGCTGGAAACTCAATCCGAGTCTCCCAGGTGGGTGGCAGGAACCCAGCACTTGGGCTGTCGCCCTGCTTCCCAGGGTCTGCATTGGCAGGAAGCTAGAGTCAGGAGCCAGAACTGGGTAATCCCTCCAGGTAGTCTTAACCAGCATCTTAATAGCTAGCTAAACACTTGTCCATTTATTTATTTATTTTAAAGATTTATTTATTTATTTGAAAGTCAGAGTTACACAGAGAGAGGAGAAGCAGAGAGAGAGAGATGTCTTCCATCCTATGGTTCACTCCCCAGATGGCCACAATGGCTGGAGCTGTGCCGATCCGAAGCCAGGAGCCAGGAGCTTCTTCCCAGTCTCCCACGTGGGTGCAGGGGCTCAAACACTTGGGCCATCTTCTGCTGCTTTCCCGGGCCATAGCAGAGAGCTGGACAGGAAGTGGAGCAACCATGTCTCGAACCGGCACCCATATGGGATGCTGGTGCTTTAGGCCAGGGTGTTAACCCACTGTACCACAGCGCTGGCCCCAACACTTGTCCATTTATAATTGTGATTGTATGAACTAGGCATTTGAAGAGTGCCTACTATATGCCAAACTCTGTTCTAAGCACTTTCTATGATTTGACAGATTTAACTCTAAAACAGAGGGTTGTTTGAGGTAGGTACTTTTTTTTTTTTTTTAATTATTTATGTTATTTATTTGAAAGGCAAAGTTACAGAGAGAGGGGAAGAGACAGACAGAACAGCCTGGACCAGGCCAGGACAAAGCCAGGAGCCAAGAAATTCATCTGGGTTTCCCATGTGGGTGTGGGGTCCCAAGCACCTGGGCCATGCTCTGCTACATTCCCAGACACATTAGCAGGGAGCCGAATCAGAAGTGGAGCAGCTGGGACTTGAACCAGTGCCCACACGGTATGCCAGCATTGCAGGTAGTGGCTTTACCTGCTAGACCACAATGCTGGCCCCAGTAGGTGCTATTTTACATTCCTGTTTTACTGAATGGTTGAATGGTATTATCTGAAGTTCCAGAGCTTGTGAGTGGCAGGACTGGAGCCAGGTCCACATGGTCTGGCTTTAGAGACTGTTTCTTTCTTTCTTTTTTTTTTTTTTTTTTTTTTGACAGAGTGTATAGTGAGAGAGAGAGAGAGAGAAAGGTCTTCCTTTTGCCGTTGGTTCACCCTCCAATGGCTGCCACGGCTGGCGTGCTGCGGCCGCGCACCGCGCTGATCCGAATGCAGGAGCCAGGTGCTTCTCCTGGTCTCCCATGGGGTGCAGGGCCCAAGCACTTGGGCCATCCTCCACTGCCTTCCCGGGCCACAGCAGAGAGCTGGCCTGGAAGAGTGGCAACCGGGAAAGAATCCGGTGCCCTGACCGGGACTAGAACCCGGTGTGCTGGCGCCGCTAGGTGGAGGATTAGCCTATTGAGCCGCGGTGCTGGCGAGACTGTGTTTCTAACCCCTCAGCTGCAGCTAGAGTCTTCCTGGGAAGCAGCACAGTGGTAGCCGCATGGTTGCTGCGACCCACTGAGACCAGCTCCAGCTCCTGCCTTAGGAGGATCATAAGATCCTCGTCAAATCATAAAGTCACATTCATAAGGAACTCAGTTGCCTACCCGCAAAACCTTTGAAAGGTATCCATCATCTGAGAGTTCCAGAATGATAGCTAAGACAAGTCTCAAAGTGATCATTGTAGCTATGCAGCAAGTTTGCATGACAGACAGCTACAGAATGAAACATGAGTGGAACTGATAGATTAGCTGGTATGTTTAAACCAGTCGTTCTCAATCTGCCCTCCCCTACCCCCAACATTTGACAGTGTTTGGAAATATTTTTGATTAGCCTTTGCTGGGGAGAGGAATTATACTGATAAGGTCCAAGGATGCAGCCAAGTGCCTTGCAGTGCCCATGGCAGCCCCGCACAAGAAATAACTCTTAGGCCCAAAATATCAGTAGTGTCACTGTTGAAAACCCTAGAGTAAGCATATTAGCAAATGAGGTGGAGCAGGTAGAAAAACATTTAGGATTTTTTTTTTAATCATGCAAGTAAAAAAAAACTGCTGGTAATTCTAAGAAAACAAAAAATAAGACAGCAAATAGAAAAGTAGTATATAATTAGCCTGTGGTGAATAATATTTACATGGTTTTATATTTTAAACAATAATTGTTGCCGTAGCTCAAATAGTCAAGTTATAGGTTTTAAATATTTGTGTGTGTGTGTGTACAGAAAAACTAGGATCAAGAATGAGTGCAGAAAAGCTACAGCTTTGCCATATGTCGTAATTTCTAAATTGGTAGATCAAGAAATAGTAATACTGAGGGGTGACACTAGTGGAGTTTATGAAAGGTTGGAGTAAGAGGTCAAAATTTGTTATTATAAGTTCTTTGTATTATTAACCATAGGCATATATTATCTTGATTAGAATTTTATCTTAAAGGCAAAAGTATAGAATAACTGTGTGTGTGTGTGTATGTATGAACGTGTAAAAATATGTATATGCCAATCTTGAACATAAAGGATGTACCAAAGGTTCTGGAATAGTAGTTCCCTTGAATGGGAAAGCATTAGTATGTATAGGTTCTAATATAATTGATGAAAAAATTGATCTAGTCTAATGCTGCATTTAAACCAAATTATTTCTGAACATCAGAAAATAATTCTGATTGTCCTGGTGATATTGACTTAATTATTTCAATGTTTTTGCCCTTCTGCAGTTACAGGATGTGAGCTTGAATCTCTGGAATGTCTATAGCAAGATGGATCCTGTGTCTCTGGAAACTTTGCTTTCAGAAGTAAGCAGCCAAATACTATTCAACTTCTGAATGGTATAGCCAGCTCATTACTGATTAATGATATTTACTTTCAAGAAATGCACGGTACATTTTAACTGGTTTTAGTCCAGGAATAGAGCAGTTTCCTTGACTGTTATCTTGTACCCTGTGGTGGACTAGGGGTGGAAGGGGTGGAGGGGGAGTCTTAGAAAGTGAGACTACCTCTTCCACTCTGGGGAAACCACACTTGAGGCAAAACCATGGCCTCCTGCCTGATCCAGGGTTTGTTTTCACCTAAAGACATGAGCTTTAAGTAGAACAATACAGAGGTTGTCTTTTTTGTACTCTGGCATGAAAAGATAAAATGATGCAGTATGATTTAAAGGGATCAAGAATTCAAGCAAGGATGTAAACTTGTTCTGTAAAGGGCCGGATACTAATGGGTTTGGTCTGTCTGTGGTTCCTGTTGCAGCTCCTCAGTAGTGCCACTGTGGCACTCAAGCAGCCCCACAAAGTACATAATAAAGGGGAGTGTCTGTGCTCCAAGGAAAATATATTTACAAAAAGATGCTTAAACAAATAGCTGTGTGTCTATGTTCCAAGGAAACTGAGAATGTGTTGCATGCCTGCTGCCTTAAACTGCTAACCTTTGGATTAGAGGGTCAGACGTTAATTGTTCATCTGAACTTTGAAAAAAATTTCAGGGTAGGGAAACAATTTGCAATGAGAAGCAATAAACGAAACTAAAGCTGTAGGAAGAAGTACTTTGGTTATGGAACTCAGTAGTGTCTCTCACTGGCTTTGGGTGGATATTCATGGTTATGGACTTGAATTTTTAAAAAAAAAATAGTATTTTAAATTTTTGCTAATTTGTTTTAGAGGCAGTGAGGGAGAGAAAAACAGAAAGCTCAAATCTGTTGCTTTACTCTCCTAATGTCTGTAATGGCCTGGCTTGGGCTAGTCTAGGCTGAAGCCTGGAGTGGGGAATTTAATCCAGGTCTCCCATGTGGGTGGCAGTAACCAGTCCCCTGGGCCATCACCACTGCCTCCCAAGGATTGCATTAACAGAAAGCTGGAGTCAGGAGCCAGAGATCTAACCTAGGTACTCTTATGTGGGATGGGAACATCTTAATCACTAGGCTAAATTCCTCTCTGGACTTGAATTTTAAGTGTGTCTGGCTCTGTGATGTGTCACTTTAACCTGGTACTCCACATCTAGAGGAGAGAGTGTTTGTTGTCAGTTTTCATAACCAGAAGTAGTTCCCAAAACAGAGTGCTTTAACAAGTCAGGAAAGGGTATAAGAGGAAAACGGAATTGTTTTTCCTGCTCTCCTTCACCAAAAACACAACACCTCTGACATTAGATGTGGCACATGGGGGTGGTATTTACACACACACACACCAAGCAGTTCTTCAGTAGACACTAGCTGGGTGTTCTCCAGTTCAACCCGGTTCTAACACTACCTATCTCGAGATAGACAGCAGGATATCTTGCAAGTTAAGGGCTCAGTCCCACAAGACTGCCCCCCCATTTCAGTTACAAGTGGCAAGGAGTGGGTTATTACCTACACTTCTGATTGACCAGCTATAAATTCGTTTCCAAGACCCACCCCACCTTGAGTTTCGTTAATTGGCCAGAATGGTTCACAGAACTGAAGGAAGCACTTGGCTTATGTTTGCTGATGTGTGAAGGATACAGTCAATGGAAGAGATGGATAGAGTGAGGCATGAGGGAGTGGACACCGCCCTCCAGGACCTTCTACATGTTCACCTAAGTTCTCTGAACACTGTCCTTTTGGGTTTTCAAGTTTCATTATGTAGGCAGGATTGACAACATCATTGGCCAATTTAGCCTTCCCAGAGGTTGAGGATGGGGCGGAAAGTTCCAGTTCTCTAATCCTGTCTTGGTGACCTGAACGTGTGGGCAAGTCATACATGGAGGCTAGACACAGCACTGTAAGTATTTTTTGTTATTGTTGTTTTAAGATTTATTTTATTTATTTGTAAGGTAGAGTTACAGAGAGAGAGAGAGAGAGAGATCTTCCATCCACTCCCCAAATGGCTGCAGTGGCTGGGATTGGGCCAGGCCAAAGCCAGGAGCTTCATTGAGTCTCCCATGTGGGTGTAGGGGCCTACAGATTTGGGCCATCTTCCACTGCTTTCCTAGACACATTAGCAGGGAGCTAGATTGGAAGTGGAGCAGCCATGACTCCATATGGGATGTCGGTGCTGCAGGTGGTAGCTTAACCCACTGTACCATGGTGCCGGCCCCAGCACTGTAATTTTCTGAATATTGCTAGCACCTGTGGAGTCAGTGCAATAAGTCCAATCAGGAGAGCATCTTTAATTGCTCCTGGAGCAAGAGCGATATCAAGCCCCTGAAAAAGCAACAGTCATGATCCTGGTCCTGGTTTTTTGACTTCCCATCAGCTTACTTTTCTTAGATGGTTTTAGGAAGAAAAAGAAGTGCATTTATTGCATGGTAGTGGCATCTTGACTTTTCTGAAGAATAAAGACTAACAGCCTGATTTAATTTTAACTGGAAATAATAAAACAAAATGATTACTGTGCCTTGAAATGCTCAGGATTGCTTTTCAGGGGAGTAACTGATGTAGTAGTGGGGGAATATAAAAGACAAAGGAATAACTCTGGGAATTCTCAGGATTGCATCCCAGAGGAGTCCTGTGTGGTGATCAGGGATTTCTAGAGAGAGGAGGAGGTAGTATGAGCATTCTAGGCACAGAGAAAGAACCTGTGTGGCAGCCTCAAAATCATTCTCTTTAAAACACTGAGAGGGGCTGGCATTGTGGCACAATGAGTTAAGCCACTGCCTGTGAGGCCTATGTGATGCCAGCATCCCATATCAGAATGCCAGTTAGAGTCCCAGCTGCTCTGTTTCCAATCCAGCTTCCTGCTAACATGCCTGGGAAGACAGTGGAGGATGGCCTGAGTACTTGGGCCCCTGCCACCTGTATGGGAGACCTGGATGAGTTCCAGGCTCCTGGCTTCAGCCTGGCCCAGCCCTAGTCATTGTGGCCATTTGGGGGAGAGAACTAGTGTATGGAAGATATCTTTCTCTCTCCCTCTCTCCCTTTCGAAAAACAGACACGGAGAGAAGCTACTCATATGTGACTGTTTTGCCGTGTCTTAGTCCTCACGCCAGTCCTTGTCTAGTAGGGATAATACCACCCAAGAACTGTCTCTTAGATGCTAGTTTAGGGCCGAGGGTTCTCTCTGAAGTTCAGCATCCTTGCCCACTGGCCAGAGACTGAGGTGCATTGGTGTGGTTCTTGGGATTTTCAGACCTTTGCTGCTTGTCTCACCTACCTTGGTACCTACCTGGGTCTGTCTTTTGGATTTGTCTTTCAAGAGTCTGAGCAGAGGGACTCTCCATCCAGCCGACCGTTTCCACCTCCCTACACGAATGCCCATTTCCACAAATGCAACGTTTGTGTTGGGAGAAAGTTAAACAGTAGTGTGGTAGAAAGCACAGGCTCTTGGGTATCTCTTATCTAGATAGATTTCTGTTTTTGCTGGTTATTAGCATTGCATCCTCAGGCAGTTCTGTCACTGCTTGGTGCCTCCGTCTCCTCCTCTATAAAGTGAGCATAGAGAAGTATACCAGGATGTTAGATCATAAAGGACAGGAGGGGAAGGCATTGAGTTGCAGCAGGTTAACCCACCACCTGGGGGCCAGTGCCATGGCGCACTAGATTAATCCTCCGCCTGCAGTGCCAGTATCCCATATGGGTGCCGAGTTCTAGTCCCAGTTGCTCCTCTTCCAGACCAGCTCTCTGCTGTGGCCCGGGAAGGCAGTGGAGGATGGCCCAAGTGCTTGGGCCCCTGCACCTGCATGATAGATCAGGAGAAAGCACCTGGCTCCTGGCTTCGGATCGGTGTAGCTCCAGCCGTAGTGGCCATTTGGGGAGTGAACCAGCGGAAGGAAGACCTTTCTCTCTGTTATCTCTCTCTCACTGTAACTCTACCTGTCAAATAAACAAAATCTTTAAAAAAATAAAAAAATAAACCACCACCTGGGATGCAGCATCCCATATGGGAGTGCCCGAGTTTGAGTCCCACTTCCACTTCTAAACCAGTGTCTTGCTAATGCGTACTCTGGAGGGTAGCAGATGATGACTCAAATCCTTAGTTCCTGCCACTCAAGTAGGATACCCAGGTAGAGTTCCTGGCTCCTGGCTGCTGGCTTGGCCAGGCCCAGCCCTGGCTGTTGTAGGCATTTGGGGTGTGAACCAGCAGATGAAAGATCTGGCTAGCTCTCTCTCTCTCTGCCTTCAAATAAATAAACATTTTATTTTTATAAAGAAGAATATATGTAAAAGAACATTTCACATACACTGCTAGTTATTTTTAGTTTAAGAGTTTATTGCAGGGCTGGTTCTGTGGCATAGTAGGTTAAGCCTCCACCTGTGGCGCCGGCATCCCATATGGATGCCAGTTCAAGTCCTGGCTGCTCCACTTTTTTTTTTTTTTAAAGATTTTATTTATTTATTTGAGAGGTAGAGTTACAGACAGTGAGACGGAGAGAGAGAGAGAAAGGTCTTCCTTCTGTTGGTTCACTCCCCAGATGGCCGCAACGGCCAGAGCTGCGCCGATCCGAAGCCAGGAGCCAGAAGCCAGGTGCTTCTTCTGGGTCTCCCACGTGGGTGCAGGGGCCCAAGGACTTGGGCCATCCTCCATTGCTTTCCCAGGCCATAGCAGAGAGCTGGGTTGGAAACAGAACAGCAGGACTCAAACCGGCACCCATATGGGATGCCGGCACAACAGGCGGCAGCTTTACCCTCTATGCCACAGTGCCAGCCCCCTGAGTCTATTTCTAATACAAAATGTATTCTGTCCTAATAACTATATTGGTTCCTTTTGTGTTTAGTGAAACATTCTAGTATAGCCAAAAAGGATTGAATAGTGCCAGTAGGGCAGGCAAAGACACACACAGGGAGGCAGCCTTAGGCATGACTTCCCTGAAGCCAGTGATGTACATTACAGGAGTCTGAGAGAGAGAG